TCCCCTTAAATAAAGAAACCTTATTTAACTTTTTCCAAATGACTAAGGGTTATCATAAAAAACATCAGGTACTGTACCTGACTTGCCCTTCAGGGTTTAGATACTTCTATCGAATGCTAGGATAGATACTCTTCTGTGTCCTTTTTGTGTATGATATGACTTTGTATGGTACCTACCACAAAGAGGTGTTTAATGACAGCTAATACTATTAAATGTTATTGTTATTTAAAAAAAAATTTATTCATACTGGTGAGAGATATGGGATGGTGAAAGGATTCACTAAAGACAGAGTGGGAAGCAGACAGGCCAATTGACTGAACTACATTGACTGAAATACACTGCTGAGGGGAGCAGTGGTGGGGTCAGGAGAGGTCTGCTGCACCAAGTGAGTCAGCTCCCTGGCTGGGGATGGAACTCTTGTTGCCCTGGCTGTGATAGCTTTGTAGTGCTTTGCTTCAACCAGTTGTGCCACCAGGGAGGGCCCTAGGTGTTATTGTTATTCTACGTAAGCTTCTTAAGAGCCCTGTGAAGTGATAGTTGTCCCATTTTTTTATAACTGAAGACTCAGGACACAGAGGGGATTAAATAATTTAGCAGGGTAGCTTACCTCTAGCACTTCCCTCTGTACTGCGCCTCCCCTCAACTTGCTTTATTTGACTGCACAGCGTGAAGTTAAAAGACTAGCCATAAACTGTGGTCTGACTGGCTGAGTTGCTCCTGTTTAAGCTCACCTGCATTTCTAGGGATCACTTCAATGTCTGCATATCTCAGTGGCCACATTCAGCCAGTGATTGTTAAGAAATTGTGTTAAAATAACTCAAGCCAGTAACTCTGCCAGTAGATTGGGAATCCATTTAAAAAGTTGAGGCAGTGTTAGAGTCTCTCCTAGCTTTTACTCTCTGCTAGACTTTTCCAGAGCTCTTCTGTGTGTGAATGCTAACTCCTGGGCAGCCAGGGACACATGAATTATTTAGACGCTCGTTGGCCTGTACTGTGTGGACTTGTGGAGACCATATCAAGGCTCCTGTCACAATCTCATTTTCTAGACTTCCTATTAAATCTCTGGCTACTTATCCAGTTTTCGCTTGCCTCAGCCACAGCTGTATCCTCAGACTACCTGGGTTGTTGCTCTTCCCCTTTCATTTGTCACTGAGATCACTGGTGTAGCTGACTGCATCATGGAGCGGGGGTTTTCCATATTCCACTCTAAGTCAAGGCAGTTACCTCCACCAGTAAAGCTGCTGGTTTTTACCATTTGCCTGCTCTCTACAAATTGAACCTCTTTACAGACCTGGGCTGGGGATGAAAGCAGCCTCGGATGAGAATTCCAGAATCAGCTACACTTACTTATATTAAGTCACTTTTCATCGATGATGGTTTCTCAATTTGATGAATACTGTAGTTGATTTCCAGAACCCTGAAATGACTGATTTTGGCAGTTTTTTTTTCTTCAGATTTATTACTGCTTTTTAGGGAAAAATTTGAAGAGCTACTTACTCTGCCATGTTAGGAATCCCGTCCCTCTTTTGCATTTTTATATTTAGCATTGTGCTCTTCATTCTTTTTGCAGCACAAATGTTCTATCTGGATTCATTTTTCATATGCCTGAAGTACATTCTTTAGACTTTTCCTTAATGTGCATATTCTGGTGTTATACTCATGTTTTCTTGCCTGAAACTATATTCTACTCTTTGTGAAGAATATTTTTATTAAGTGTAGAAACCTAGGTTGATAGTCCTCAACTCCCAGCATTGAAAATAAAATTCTCATGCCTTCAGGTGCTTCTGTTTTTGCTGTTGAGAATCCAGAGATTAGCCTGTCATTTGAAGGTCTTCTAAATTATTAAGGCAATTTTTTTTTATTTTTAAGATTTATTTATTTATTTATGCTTACAGAACTGGGGTACAGGCCAGAGGTGTGGTGGGTGAAGAATTCACCAGAGACAGAGTGTGAAGCAGAACAAGCAGATTAACAAAGTACACTGCTGAGGGGAGCAGCAGGCAGGTCAGAAGAGGTCTGCCATGCCATGTGGGTGTCGAATTTGTGCTGCAGTGGCTTTGGAGAGCTTCATAATGCTGTGCTTTAACCCATTGTACCACCAGGGAGAGCCCTCTTACTGCAAATTTGAAGATCATATATATATTTGGTATTCTGTAGCTTCACTTTAAAATGTGAATTTTTTTGTTAGTTCAGGAAAATTGCCATTTTCTCATCAAATAATTCCTGATTGTTTCTTCTTTGGGGCCTTTGATTAAATGTACATTACATGTTTTCACTCTGTTATCTATGTCTTGTTAATCTTTATTCTATATATTTTTTTCTTTCTTTCTGTGATGCATTCAGTATAATTTCTTCTTCTCAGAAAGACTTTCTACCATATGGCAACCTACTCTGCAGAAATTTATAGGCAGAGGTCTGGGTGGAGTTAGTGCTGTTTCAGCCCTGCCCTGTGAGCAGATAGCTCCTTTGTGGTCCCAGCTCAGTGTGGAGAGGGACTTCTTTCAGACATGGCTGGGGTTTGTGCCTGGGGTTTGAATTATGTGCTTGTCTGCATTTAAGCCTGTCAAAACCAAAGCCCCAAATTTATACAATTGGCAAATTCTTTGAAGACAAAAATCCCTCTATCTCTCGATTTATTTCTCTGGGTTCTAGCTTTCCTTTGTGACTTGGAAATTCTTGATGGTGATGATGATTAGTATTATTTAAGCATTGTCCAGTGTTTTCAATGGGAGGATTATCTTGCTTGTCACCATCAGAATAAGATGGTTTCCTTCTACTTATTCCTTGGGCCATGTATGAAAATAAGTCTTATCCCTCTCATGTTTTACCCAAAACATTATTTTCTGTATTCTTCCTAGCTTTTTAAAAATAAATTTGTCTGTAATAAATTTTGGCTTCTAAAATTAATTCAGCCTGCCTCAAAGCAAGGTTTGCCATTATCTAGTGTATCAGAGTATGCTGTCAGTATTTACTGTGGGCCACCATCCCTTGCATCAGAAATACCTGAGATGTACATTTTTCTATCACTATTTTAGTATGTATTTCTTACAAACAAGGACAATGTAAGAGATGTCTTACATGATTGTCCTTGTTTGTAAGAAATTAATTAGAGAAGCACACTAATTAATTAGATTAATTTTCTATCACTATTTTAGTATGTATTTCTTACAAACAAGGACAATGTAAGAGATGTCTTACATGATTGTCCTTGTTTGTAAGAAATTAAGATGATGATTATAATTTGGAAGATTAAACAATACTATTACCTAGTCCACAGTCCTCTCGCTCTCAACTTTACTATGTTTTGACATATGTATATGTTGTGAAATGATTACCAAAATCAAGTTAATTAACATTACTTACAGTTTCCTTTTTGTGTAAGCAGCACTTAGTACTGCTCTTCCAGTAATCTTCAACATCATTCACTGTAACCATCATGTTGTAGCTTCAGTTTCCTAACTTTTTTATCCTCCTTAACTGAAATTTTATTTTCCTTACCCTTTATTCTTGGCAGACACCATTAGATTCATTTCTATGTTCAAATATTAAATGATACAATGCAGTATTTGTCTTTCTGTGTCTGGCTCACTTTACTTATAATATTATCCAGATCCACTCATGTTGTTGCAGATGCAGGATTTACTTCCTTTTTTTTTTGTTTTTTAAAGATTTATTTATTTATGTATAAGAACTAGGGTACAGAACAGAGGTTGTGAGAGGATTCACCAGAGAGAGTGAGGAGCAGAACAGGTTGACTGATGAAGTACAGTGCTGAGGGGAGCAGCGGGCGGGTCAGGAGAGGTCTGCCACGCCATGTGGATCACCTCCAGGGCAGGGGATTGAACTCATGCTGAAGTGGCTCTAGCTTCTTTTTCTTAGTGTTTTCTTTTTCTTAGTGTTGTGCTTTAACCCGCAGTGCCACCAGGGAGGGCCCTCTTTTTTTTTTTTTTTTTTAAGACTGAATAATATTCCATTGCATATATATGTCACATTTTTGTTAGCCATCATTATGGATTCATAGATTATTATAGTATTCAGAAGGTTATAATACATTACTATACTTTGTGTCCCACAATTAGAGTATTTTAAGTTGGTTTTTGTGTTAATTTGATCTGTTTCCATCATTCCTCTAATACATCTTTATTTCCTGGCACCAGATGTTCTTGACTTGTTTTATACCTTTTCTACCATGACCCCTGGAATTCTGTGTTCTCCTAATAAACCTTAGTTCCTTTTAGTGTGAATAGACAATAAGAGCTGAACAAGTCCTTTGTTACTAGTGTGCTTCTCTAGATTGTCTTAGGGGACTGGGCTAGGAAAGATAAATGAATTCGTATATGCACACAGACACACCTATGCTTATTGCTCTCTTGATCTTTTATAAATCATGTTTCCATACCAGTATCTCTAGTTGTAGTCCAACTGAGCTTTCCATTTATTTGTAACTTACTTTTCCAACAGTGAAAAATCTGGCTCCTACTGTCCTTACAATCTTTACTCTCATGCTTAGAATATACAGAAAGTTACTTAGTTAGAATTGCTAACCTTTCGCAATGAAAAAAACAAGTGTGTACATTATGCTCCTGTGTAATCTTTTGTAAAAATCTGTGAACTCATCATTTCAGCAGACAATGTGATTGTTTACAGAGACTTGAATCCAACAATATGTTGGAGATACTTTGATGGCATTGTTTATATGCTCTTCTTAATAATTGTGTATTATTAAGTTGAGTAGGCAATTGATTCCTCCTATGAAATTATTAACCAGAGATTAGGATATAGGCTCCTTTAATTGACTACAGTGAGAGAAATTCAAAAGTAATATTATTAACCTTATTGCATTATTTGGAATATTTTCTTGGTTCACTTAAAATTTAACACATTTATGAAGTCTAATATATTTAGTTACATTTAAATACAAAACTGACTTGCAGTCTCCTTGAAAGACCTGCAAACAAGTTAAGAGTCTTTCTAAAGCATGTTTTCATTTCTTTCAACAGAACCCAACTTGGAGGAGTCTTGATTTTGGAATAATGCCCAACCGTCTTGACACATCTGTGTCTTTTTTTGTGGTGAAGATATGGGGTGGAAAGGAAGACATCTATCAGCTATTGATTGAATGGAAAGTCTGTTTGGATGGGCTGAAATACTTGGGTCAGCAGGTAATTTTTAGGCTGCGGTTTTTAAGTAGTTCTCCAAAGTAGCCTCTCCAGCCTTTCTGTTGATTTTTCTGGTGCTACATTTCCTAGTTTAAAGAGACTTGTTATGATTGTTTACTTAGTTTTAGAAATTTTAGTTGCCAAGTTTAAAATATAACCTTTTGAAGAAATTTATAAAAATGCTCCTTAATAAACGGCTCATTTAAAGGAGTTTTTTTGGGGGGTGTAGGAAGCTCTTTATTCTGCTTCTTCTGTCTTATTTGGCTTTTCCTCACCTAAAACCTGAAATTAGTTGAAAATAAAGAACGTACTATAAATTACTTCTCTTATGACCAGTAGAGTTGAGTTATTCCAGGAATAAACTGTTTGTTGAGCTCAGAGATGACAAATGCCAAGTTCACACACTGCCATCCATTCTCCGTGAGTGATGTCATTTATTGATTGTAGCACTTTTCTAGCAGACTTCAAAAATGAGTCCATGATCCTTTCTAATAGTGTTCCAGAATACAACTAGAAGTATATAAGAATTGCATGTGAAGTGAAACCTATTTGCCATTCCATGACATAGGTTTTACAATTAATGTTTATAAGCAGCCTTGTGAAGGTTGATATTTTTGCCTTTATTTTTTTTCACACGGGAAAATTGAGCCTCAGAGAGTTTAAGAAAGTGCTCAAGATTCTGCTGCCTGGTGGTGACAGAAGAAAGTATGGGCACAGTACTCTATGATGCGCTCTCAGAAACATCTTTAAGGACTCATAGCCAGAGCTAAGAAAATGAAGGAAAAGATAAATAGTTGGGAATACATTAAACTAAGAAGCTTTTGTACAGCAAAAGAGACAATAACCAAAACAAAGAGAAAGCCTACAGATTGGAAGAAAAATTTGCACATCATATAACAGACTGTTCCAAAGACTTGTTATCAAAGTTTACAAGAAGCTTACACAACTCAACAAAAACAAAGCAAACAACCTAGTCAAAAATGGGCAGAATAATTAAAAAGGCACTTCTCCAAAGAGGACATGCAAATGGTATATTAAAAAAAATGCTCAACATCACCTATAATCTGGGAAATGCAAATCAAAACCACTGTGATCTGCCACCTCACACGGGTGGCAGTGTCTCATATTAATAAAACTGCAACAACAAATGCTGGTGAGGATGTGGAGGAAAAGGAACCCTCTCACACTGCTGATAGGAAAGCATACTGATGCAACCACTATAGAAAGCTGTGTGGAGCTTTCTCAAATTACTAAAAGTGGGGCTACCATATGACCCAGTGATTCCACTTCTAGGAATCTTCCCAAAAGACACAAAAACAATATGAAAGGAAACCACCTGTACTACTTTGCTTATTGCAGCACAGTTTACAATAGCCAATAGCCAACATATGGAAACAACCCAAATGTACAAAAAAGGATGGCTAATCAAAAAGATGTACCCATACACAATGGAATACTACTCAGTAGTCAAAAAGATAAACTCATGTCTTTTGCAGCAACATGGGTGGAGCTGGAAGGGATTATGCTTAGTGAAATAAGTCAGGTAGGAAAAGAATAATACGAGAAGATTTCACTTATAGGAAGAATATAGGAAAACCTAACAAAAGGGTCAAAAAAAAGAAAGACAAAACTTGCAGGTAAACTATAGATTTGAGGCATACAATGGGAGAATGGTAAAGAAGAGGGGTCAAAACAGGGTAGGGAAGAGCACGAGGGCCTATATTGATGGCTCCTGGTTGATGTGATGGTGGGAGATTTATGGGGACTGTATCTGAGAGGAGAAATCAAATATTGTACAAAAATGAACAATGTAAAAAATAAAAAAGTTTTAATCACTTGAAAAAATAAAACTAGTTTGTCAATTGCTACAAACATTCTATTGGGATTTTGATAGGTGCTGAAGCTAAAAAATTTGGGGACAACTGACATCTTAACTACCTTGGGTATCTCTACAGTGATGTATCTATCAATTTTGAAATTCTTTGATTTCTTTGTAGTTCTCAACAGACCAATTTTGTACATATTTGGTTAGATTTATAACTACTGAATCCATGTTTTTTGATGGTAATATAAATGGTATTCCATTCAAAAATAATTCTAGTTTCCCCACGGGGATTACAATTGAGATGAAAAAAAAATGTACAAAATGATGTAAAAATAAACTTTTGTAATAAAAAAAATAATTCTAGTTTCAATACTTGTTGCTGGTATATAGAACCTGTTTTATAGACTAAATGGATTGTGTTTTCTTTGAGATCAGAGAATGTATGATCTGCTTCTGAATCGCCTATATACTTCAGAAATCTTGTCATAACAGCTTTAAAAACAGTTTGTGGAAAATATGTATAAACAATGGTGTGATCTTGTAACAATTTTGCAAGGCCTTTGACTAAAACAAGCTCTTAATTAATTACCTGGTCTTATGATGAGTAGTTTGTTTTTTGCTGGCTTGACATAGTCTGTTTTTTAGCTTTGAAGTAGGTCTTGTTGTAATTAGTGTTCTCTCATCGTATTAAAACTTGGCTGGAGTGAGAAGAATTAATAATGTGTTCTCTTCCTCTTTTAGATTCATGCCCGCAACCAAAATGAAATAATTTTTGGCCTGAATGATGGCTACTATGGTGCTCCTTCTGAACATAAGGTAAGAGGATTTTTCTAATGCTGTGAATGTTATTTAGTGCAGGTAGGCCTTGATGTATAGGGTAAAAAGCTCTGTGTAAATACAACCGTTTTAAGTATCATAAATGTGTTGTTTGATATGACTTAGGGTAAATGCTTTTACAATTGAAGCTCCTTTTGTAACCACTGCAGTCTTTTCTAAATCTAGATCATATTAATTTTTCTGACAGAAAGTCTGAAGTAGCTATTCTGTCTTAGTCTACATAATTCTTTGGGAAGTTTAATTCCAGTAAGCCATACAATTTATTAAATGTTTCTGATGTCTTTTATTTAAAAAAAAAAACCACGAGTCAGGTTATATTATTGTCAGTGATGTCTATATGTCTTTAGGCAGTTAAAAAAAGGAAAGGGAAGATAATTCGTATTTACCAAGTATGTACTACGTGGTTCTGTGCCAGGTGATTCATGTTCTTTATCCTACTTAATGCTACTCACAAACCAGTGAGGTGATTTTTCTACTTTATTTGCTCTTAGCGCTCATGTTGCTTCATAATTCATAGTTGTCTGAAATGCTATTGCTAGACTGCTTCTTTCATTCAACAACTTTATTAAGTACTTTTTTTTTTTTTTTTAATTATATCGGTCACTGCGCTGTAATGCAGTACAATTGTGAGCAAGTAGGTATTTTCCTGCTGTCATGGAGTGAGGAGGAGAGACAAACACTGATAAAACACAGATAAATATATAGACACAAATAGTGGTAAGTGCTATAAAAACAGTTAACAAGGACCTCTTATTCTAGTGACTCAGAAAGATCTTGGGCACTTAACTTTTTTTTTTTTTTTAAAGATTTATTTATTTGTGCATACAGAACTGGAGTACAGGCCAGAGGCTCAGGGGTGGTGAGAGGCTTCACCAGAGACAGAGTGGGGGACAGAACAGGCAGATCGACGAAGTACACTGCTGAGGGAAGCAGCGGGCGGGTCAGGAGAGGTCTTCCACGCCATGTGGTCACCTCCGGGGCAGGCGGGAATCGAACTCATTCGGAAGCGGCTTTAGTTTCTCAGTGCTGTGTTTTAACCCGCTGAGCCACCAGGGAGGGCCTTGGGCACTTTTAATGAAAGTGTGAACTATGCTAAGGGGGTGGGGGCTAGATGGAGCATTCCAGGCAGAGGAGGTTAACATGTTGTAAAGCCATGAAGTGGAAATGAGACATGGTGAGTTAAAGAAAGGTTAAGAGTGAGGAGAAAAAATTTACCAGATAAGGCTAGAAAGGGAGGTGGGCTACATTACTAAGTAGTGGAGTGTTTTTTTGTTTGTTTTTTAATTTTTTTAGTAGTGGCATGTTTTAAGGACTGTTAGCATGGAAATATTAAATTTGTGTTTTAATAATTTCACTCTGCCTGAGAAAGGACTGATTGTAGGAGAGGGAAGATTTATGTGGGAAGGCAGGAAGGAGGATCTTGGAGTGTATCAGGGAGGATCTTGGAATGTATCAGGATTAGAGATGCTGAATAGACTTATCTTAGAATAGAAGATGAAATTGGGAAAATTTTAGGAAGTAAAGTCATGAGACTTGGTGTTAGTTGAACTTAGAGTATAAAAAGGAGTTTTGAAAGGAAACCTTCTGACTTCCTCCTGCTTGGATAAAGTAATCCCCATGTTGTGGGCAGGTGCCAGGCAGTGGGAGAAATAAGGGTGATTAGAGGAAGACCAGGTTCTGTGGAGGCAGACTTCCAGTGGACTACGCTCCTTCTGAGCCAGGACACCAGCAGGCCCAACGCTGCTTCTTCTACTCACTTCTTCGTGTTTCTATTCCATTTCTCTTCCAGAGACGAGAATATCTTGCTTTTTGTTTTCTTGTTTTAATAAGGGTCTGTCTCTCTAGGAGTTGAGATTGATCACACAGATTGAGATTGAGACACCTGGGAGCTATCCATGTGAGGTGTTAAATGGACTTAGAGAGCTTGCTCACTCGTCTGCCCACCCTCCGTGCTATGTCGGCTATATATCATCTGTACATATAATCGATAGAGATCAGAATGTTGGCTTTATTCGTCAATAAACTTAATGGCAACATGCTTAAATTCTGCAACTCAGAAAGGTTGAATATACTTCCCAAATTGACCCTCACCCCAAAATAGCAAAGCAAAGGAAAACCGGGATCTTGTCTGTACGGCACAAGGTCCAAAGAATTTGTGTGAGCTTTAGACCCACCGGCTGTTGTGAATGGGAGGGAACCTACAAGTACTGAGGTCCTTGTGCACCTCTTATCTCCCAGGCTCAGCAGTTCAGTAAGTCACCTGCCTCCAGGTGGTCAGTGAGTGCAGAACACAGAGAAACTGGAAATGCTCTTTTTATGACCTTTCCGCCTGAGAAATACACTGGGAAGTTTTTCCCCTTTGTGGAGATATGTGAGAGCAGTGTTTTTCCCGATAGTGGTAATAATAGGCGATGTTTAGTCAGCACTTCTGTGCTCAGCACTATTCGGAACCCTTTATATATTTACCTAATTTAAACCTCACGATCATTCTCTCTATTGATGAGGAAGTGGACATGCAGATGTTAAGTAACTTCCAAGATTACACAGCTTCTTATTAGCCAAGCTGGAATTCAATACTAGACAGTTAATTGATGTTTATAAAAGATGTATATTATTCTGTGTTCCTTTATTTAATGGGCTTTGTCAGTGTGTAAATACAATTTACCTTGCCCCTTCGCCAGCTTTCAAATGAACACCTGACCTTGAAAGTTTTTTCCCTTTTTTTAAAGAAAATCATAAAGGTTTTTAGTCAAGATGACTTTGTGAGTACATACTTTTGAGACCCTCCATTGTGTCAAAAAAAAATTGATGAAATTAGAAGACTTTAAAGAGATACAACTTTATTAAAACAAGAAAACAAAAAGCAAGATATTCTCATCTCTGGAAGAAAAATGGAGAAGAAACTTGAAGAAGTAGGTAGAAGCAGAAGCGGTGGACTTCCTGGCGGCCTGGCTTAGAAGGAGCTCAGTCTACTGAAAGCTGACACCTCCCAGTGAACTGAACACTAACTGAGCAGTGCAAGCTGAGATAGGGCTCTTCCTGTTCCTGAAGGAGACTGACAGAAGATACAGAAGGCAGAAATAACTGAATAATAATGATGAAATTTTATCAGTAGTTATACAAATGATTTATGATTTTTTTTCCCTTCTGTGAATACCCAATACCTACTATACCTGTTACTGGACTAAGTGCAAAGTATAGGACACAGATTCACAGATGTCTATGTCTCTTAGTTAAGGAGAGAAAACAACTTATATTCCAGAACAGCTCCAGTTTACTGATGGATTTAGCCTGGACATTGGTTTTCATGTCAGAGATGTTTGAGTCTGCTGATAATGCAGATGAGTTATAGCAAACCCTTAAATAATTTGAACAAGAGATTAGAAAGATTTGCTTTTTTTAAAGTTTGGGGACTCTTCGAGAACCACAGGGGAACACTGTTATAGTTTGAAGTTGGTTTGGTAGAAGTTGGTGAATAAGGCAATGTGGTCTGGAGAGAGGTTTTCTAGGTAGATAATTGTTAGGGTTGTTAGGGACCACGGGAAGTGAAAACTGTTGGCCAGGTCCTTAATGCTGTCAACTGGGATTTCAGATTCCAATGCAGGATTTTTGTCTTTAATATCAACCTATAAGATATCATTGCCTGAATTTTCTTTTGAAGAGAATATTGACAACTGCCTGGGTGAATACATACCGCTAGTGGCTAAGGATAAGAGTTTTAGAATCTGATGTAAATTAATCTTTACTTCTGTTTACCTATGAAAGACATTGGGTATATTGAGTAACTGTTTCTTTATCTGTGGACATAACGACTTCTACCCATCAGAAGTTGTTTTGAGGATTAAAGGTGATAATATATATTACAAGCTTGGCACTTGCATTAGTAAATGGGAATTGCTACTCACTAGGCTCTAAGCCATATGATAAGAGGGATTATGTCTCTGTTACTTATCAGCATATCAGCATTGTGCCCCTAGCATGTAGTTGGCAAATTGCTGATAAATGTAGAATTAATTGAGATCAAAGTAATGATTGAGATTAAAAATCTTGAGGTGAAGGTAGTTCTCTCTCCCACTCTACTTTACCCCAGATTCGAAGTTTTATTTTTATGAAGCCACACTCAAAATAGCTCTGTTGTAGAAAGCTGCGGAAAAGCTTTAGTTGGTTAAGAATTCCTCCTCAGATTGAACAACAAAAAAAAGACAGTGGTAATGTCTTCAGAGTCCAGTAGATGGCAGTGCTTTCTCATTTTAATGGAACATAGACTAGGTGTGGAATCCAAGTAAAATGGATCAAATCTTTTTGGATGTGAAACCCTCAGGAGATTGAAATAGCAATTGGTGACTAATTTCACAAACATAAACACATAACTTTACCATCCCAACTGTAGCATCAAGTTGATATGAAAGATTAAGGGACAAGTTTTAGCATCTTTTTTGAGAGCCTCTGCCCTGAAATTCCCATACTTCATTATACTTTGTAAAGTAGAAAACCTGAACTCTAATACCGGCTTCATTTTAGTACACAACAACTGTGTTCCTTGAACAAGTCACCTAACTTCTCTTAGTTTTATGTTCCTTTTCTCAAAAGTAAGAAAATCCTAATTAGCTGGAAAGAATATTAGAGTTATTAGCTCAGTGCTCTTCTTTCATAGATGATGTCTTTCATGGATGAGGAAAGTAAGACTTAGGGATCCTCCCTAACTCTTGACAACATAGCAAGTTAGTTTCATGGTACAGAGGATAACTCGGATATAGTTATGTATAATCATATCATCCATAAAAGATAATACCATGAAATTACTACATACATACTTTCATAGCTCCTTTGCTTTTAAAGATAGAATTACTATGTTTCTTCCTTCCCATTCCATTCCATTCTTACAACAGCCTCTGAGGGAAGGCAGTACAACTATTAGTAGTAGTAGTTTTAGTTGTTGTGTAAGCAGGCATCTAATAAGTATCTATAATAAGCACTTG